CCCAGAGGCATGGTGAAATCAAATAGAGAAGTCTCAGAGAACAATACAGCCAGGTGGAGATGAGATGTCTGAGCAGAGCTTTCTCCTTAAATGGAGGTTTGGAGTTCATGACCCTGTCCTCCAGTCTGAGGGGCAGAGGATGGCATTAAGACTAATAGGATTTTGCAGGTGATGAAATTACCCCAACAATGAGCTTCCTGGGCCATGTAGAAAAAGTCAGTCTAGAAAAGTCCCAAAGCAGAGGAGCCAAGTGAGAAACTTTAAAGATGAGTTAGTGTTATTATTATTGTATATCATTTTATATAGCATAAGTATTATTAGTATATCTTATTAGAATCCAGACCAAACCCTACAGGAAAACATTTAATACAAGTCACAATGGATTGAGCTTTTGCATATCAGTCAATGAAATCTTGGTTCCTGTGTGCTAAGCCCCAGATCTGAGAGCAGTGGGGGAGAAGGAAGACAAAGACCTGGTCCCTGCCCTACTAGCAAAGCCAACAGTTTAGCTGAAGAGACATGGCACATAGAAAAAACTAAACAACCAAGTGCAAAATTGTGTACTGACCTTAACTACAACAGGACTTTGGAGAAGGGAAAGATGAGGTCAATACAGTCAGGGAAGGCTTTGTGGCAGAAGTGGGATTACTACTAAAGCTGAGCCTTGAAGGATGAAAGGGACGTGAACGTAATTATTAGCCACAGCTGATGGCACTAAAGGTCCCCCAATTCCAAAAGACTGCTACTACTCTCCTTCCCTAAGGCTTGGAATTCACTAATAGTATCCTGAAAAGAACACTAGGCTGACCATCGGGAAATTTATGTGTGACCTAACTTTCTATAAGATCTTAAGTAAGCCATAGCCCCTCTCCGGGTCTCATTTACCTCCCCTATAAGAGGAGGACTAGATGTTTTTACTACATAGTTGGTAAGGTCCCTTCCAGCTTTAATCCCTTCCAATTTTAACATTCTTTGTTCTAAAGTCTCTTCCAACTCTAACATTCTTATGATCTATGTTCTAAGGACACTTCCAGCTCTGACATTCCAAACCCTGAAGTCTTTTCCAGCTTTCCTCCTTTATGTTCTAAGAACAGATACTTAGGATGTCCTAAAATCTTAGTGCAGTTTAAGCATATTGAAGTTTTTGGATCACCCTATACACTGCTTTTTAAAGTTGGCAAGGGGCTTTGCACATCTCATTTAAGCCTCATGCTGGCGGATGAGGCAAGCACCACAGGCATTATCATTCCTATTTTATAGATGAAGAAACTGGCACTAAGAGAGGTTTAAATAGTACAGCCATGGTCTCACAGTTAGGAAGTACCAGAGACAGGATTTGAAGTCAGTATTCCATCCACTATGCCATGCTGCCTCTCTAACAATCTCTGTTTCAACATTTCATTTCCTAAAATTATGTTTTATATGCTGAGGTCCCTTCCAGCCCTAATATTGCACATTTTAAGGTTCTGTTACAGCTCTCACATTATATTATTTTGTGAGTCAATCAATAGTGGCTACAACCTTCCCACAGAGAACTGAGACTGAGTCCTGCCTTCTCCCCATTTGGAGGAGGCAGACTAACTCATTTTCCTTTGTGTCTGAGCTGGTAGAAGAATGGAGAAGAGAAGACTGTGAGGTGAAGGAAGAAATAAAAGGGCCTGACTACCATGCAGAGCCTGAAGCACGTCCCTGGGAGCCTCAGGAATGCCAACTCAGCAGCCGTTGAAGCAGCAGCAACATCTGGTCCTGAGCCCAGCTAGAAGGGGAGAAAAGAAGAACTAGGTCTCACTTTCCTTGAAACCCCAAGGCAGGTGGGGAGTTGCAATTCTCCAGTCCTGCTCCCCATTCTTTCTTTGTACAGCATCCAAAGTCCTAGTGTGAAAACAGTCAAAATTAGCTGCCAATATCAATCAGTACTGTGGACATTTGCCTCTCCCAAGGCTTGATCATTCTGACTTAATATTTTCTCATTGGAAGAGGCGGGGAGGAGAGAAGGGAGAAATCTTAGCAGTTGTGTGACCTTTGTCAAGTCACTTCTACTCTATACAATTCCATTTCTTCTTCTTTTTATTGAAGGGAACAAACGATATGATTTCTTAGTGACCTTTTATCTCTAAGTTCTGTGATCTTATGCACATACTAAGGGATAGTCTTAAGAGGACCTTTGCATAGATTTCAAAAACTGGACAAGACCTTATAGATAATCTAGTCCAGGAGTATCCCAACTTTCTTGGATATATTGGGGTTTGATACATACTGACAAAACGTAAATGCTGGGTTGGGAGATGTACAGGCATGAATGCAAAGGTGAGTTGGAGGAATTTTTTTTTAGCAAGAAAGAGAAAATTAAGCCTATTTTCATACTGGAAGATTACTTAATGTAATAAGCATTTTTGGTACATAAGTGGTTTCATATCTAACATTTCAAAGGGGAAAAATTATTGGCATTGAATTTCCATAAGAACCGGTGTTACCATCAGAACTGTTTCAGAGACATCATTCTAAGCTAACCCCCTTACTTACAGACAGAGAATTTGAGAGGCCCAAAATGAGGAATCAATTTTTCCAAGATAATATAGCTAGGAAGTGGCTATCAGAATAGGGACTTGAACCTAGGTCTTTTGACTCCCAGCTCAGAGATCTTTATGCTGGCCTCCTTTATTATTTATTGTATTTACTGGAAATTGAACCCAGACCTTCTCTATAACAGGATGGATTCAACCACTGGCCTACCAATGTGGGTTAATATTTCTTACTCACAAAACCTGGTTTAGAGTCCCGCTCTGCCACTTGTTGGCCATTTAACCTTGGTCAACTTCCTCATCTGGAAAATGGAGATAAATAAAACTGGCACCATCTCCCTTACAGAGTTGTTGTAAGGATCAAATGAAATAATGAACATAAAAGGCTTTGCAAACTTTAAAACACTATGTCAGAAATGTCAGTTATTATCCCTCTCCTTCATTTTACAAATAGAGGCAAATAATGCTTAGGGAGGTTAGTGGAAGTTCAGTCTTATCCCTTACAACTGGGACATGGCTGAGTTCCATTAAAGGAAATAATGATGTCTCTGACGAAGCATGCTGGTTACTTGGGAAGTACACACCACACATAGAATATGAGAGTACACGGAAAGGTGAACTGGACAAGAACAAGGTGAAGAGCACAGGCAAGAAGGAGACTAAAAGTAGTAGTAGGTCAGCTCCCCTGAGCCAGGTTTGGAATGCAGGTTTTGATAGGTTGTCTTCAAGCCCAAAAGGCATGGGAAAACCACCACCCAGCCAATCAGAACTGTGAACCTGATATCACATGCACTGTCCTGCTGAACAAATATTGGACAAAGTTTCCTAGATTTAAAATTCTCTTGGGTCCTGGCCTCCAGGGATGGCTTCTCCACAGAGAAAAAAATGTATGTCCACAACTCCCTTGACATATGGTCCACTTATTCCACTGGGCCAAAATCCAAGAGAACTATTCCCCTTACCCATCACAAGGACCCTTCCTCAATCATCCATGGGCTCTTCTAGCCCCTACTTGGCCACCAACAGACAAAGAAAACCATCCTGCCCAGAGAGAGTTTGCTCACTCACTCATGATCAAGCTTTTCTACCAAGATTCCACTCTTTCCCTGATGCACGTGTCTCTATTGTCTACCCTCTGCTTCAGAGAAAGACAGAGCTGAGGAAGTGTCAAAGCCAATGCCCCCCATAGCAGAAAAATGAGTTATTTTATTATTTCTGAACATGAATGGCTGAGCTGTCCTAATCAACTGTTTTCCTGGCTGTTGAAGGTGGAGGTAGGTGGGAGGGGGTATTTAAGTTCTCTTATGTTTACTTCTCCTTCATTTCCCAACCCCCAATTCCCTGGTCAAAGAAAGTTCTGTCTTAAACCTGACCTGGTTGGCAGTGTTAAGCACAACCCCACCAGAGGAGAGGGAGAGGGACTGCCTTCCTTTTCTTTAAGGCACTGCCCTGGCCACTACCGTGCCTGTTCCATGATTTGGGAAACAAGAAAGCCAGAGAGGAAGAAGCAATTTAAAGCAGATGGGCAGTGGGTGATCTCACTGTTTCTTCCTTCCATTCCTCTCCCCTTCCTTCCCCCTCCCTTCTCCTCAGGCCTCCTTCCTCTTTCTCCTTTATGTCCCTCATCCTTCTCTCGGCCCCTTCCTCTCTGAATCTGTCCCTCCTCCTCTCTCCAATTCCCCTTCTCTAGTTTCTCTACTCTAGCCAGCTGGTTCCCTGCTTTTCCCTTTCCCCATGCTTCTGTCTCTTTTCCTATTTTCTTTTTTTCTTCCTTATTCCTTCTCTTATTCCCCCTCCATCCCTGAGTCTCTCTATGTCTGTCTCCTTGTTTTTCTCTCATCTCCCTCTTTCTTTATTCTTGGTCTCTAGGCGTCTCTGTCTCTCCTTGCCTTTCTCTCCATCTCTTTCTCCCTTCCCCTTTTCTTATTCTTGAGCTCTATATTTCTCTCTCTCTTTGCCTTTCTCTTTGTCTCTGTTTCTCCTAGTCTTTCTCTTCATCTCTTTCTCTCTCCTCCACCCCACTCCCCCATTCTTGTTCTTGAGCTCTGAGTCTGTTTTTCCTTGTCTTTTTATTCCTCTCTGTACGTCGTTCTCTTTCTTTCTCGTTCTCCCTCTCCCTCCCTCACTTTCTCTGCTCTTGCCTCTGCTTGCTCTGTGCCTCCCTCCCCAGCTCGCCTGCTCTCTATGCTCTGCTCCGCTCTGCTCTCCTCCCTGCCTGCCCAAGCAGCCGGTTCATGGGGAATGTGAATGATTGTCCTGAGGGACATTTGATGGATTAGAGAGCTAAACAGTTCCATTGCGAGAGGACCACCTGATCTCCAGCCTGCGTCCCATATAAAGCCGGCAGCCGGACTGCTGAGCTCAGCGAGTGTGCCAGGCAGCGCCGCCTCCCCTCCCCTCCCCTCCCCTCCTCTCCGCCCGGGCCCTCCCTGCCTCGCTGCCTAGGGACCGCATGCGGGTAGTGCAGGGAGCTGTCCAGTGCTGAAGAGCCCGCTCCGTAAGGCAACAGCATCCACTTCCTTCAGCTGCAGCCCGTGTACCCCCAAGCTTTCCCCCTCCCCTCCCAAGGCCCCACTGAAGTTCCCCGCCGGGCCGACTCCGGCTCCGGCTCAGCACAGCACCATGCCCCGCTCCTTCTTGGTGAAGAAGATCAAAGCAGATGCCTTCCAGTGTAGCAGCGTCCCAGCTCCCAGCTACCACCCCCTGGGATCCGCATATGTGCTGCCGGGCTCCAGGGGGGCAGCCGGCCCTGCCGGGGACAGCGGTGAGTAGGGCTTCGGGAAGGGGGAGGGGGAAATGGGGGAGGCTCCGAGAGGACAAGTCCTAAGGGCTGGATAATCGGGAAGGGAGATTATGGCCCTCCTTTCCACCCAAATCTGAGAAACCCCCTTCCAAGTGAGGATACCCCTCCCACACCCGCTAACTCCCAGGAGGGCCACAGTGGGAGAAGAAGAGCGCTAAGCAGAAGAGAACAGAGTCAATACAAAGAAAAAAGTCGTTTGGGCGTCCGCCCTGGGCCATGCTCTCAGACTTTGAAAGTTGCAGCCCTGGACTAGGCTGGGCTGAGGAAGAAGGGAAGGGAGAACCCCGTGGACCCCTGAGTGGGCACAGATATAGCAGGAAGTATGGAGTCCCTTTCACATATTGGGGGTGCTGGTCGTGGAGGTGACCCAGGTCAGAGTCAGGGGGTCGATCTTGGCTCTAGGATCAACCAAGATGTAGTTAGTGACCCTGTCCACACACAGCTCATGTGGGCATAAAGCCTCCTGGTCAGCAGTGACCAGCTGGCTGAAGATTTTGACCTCTATCTGGATCTTCTGCAAAGTGGGGATTCTGGGGTGGAGGAAAACCACTGCTCTCCCTTTCCTGGCACTAAGAATTTTCAGCCTAGACCAGGGTAGGTGTAAAACTAGCATCCTCCTCCTCTTCCCCCCCCCAACCCTGGGAGCTTTTGTTACCCTCAGCCATATGCATCAAGAAGGCAAAAGCTTGCCATGCACTCAGCCAGAGAAGGAGGCTTTATTCAAGGGATTTACCTAGGGAAATAGCTACAGATCTTTGAAATAAGCAAGCTTGTGCTGGGAAGGAGGAAGATAACCTCCCTAATTGTCTCTCCTTCCTATTCCTGCTGTTATCTCCCTCTGACCCATCATCTAGGTCTTCTTAGGGTGAGTTTGTGCAAGGAAATGGGATCTGTTAAGGGGGTGTAAGTGGAAAGACTCAGCTGAAGGGGGTTAAGAGGCTGAGACTTATGAAGGAGTGAAAGAAAGCTAGTCTTTCCCCAAGGCCCTCTCCAAGAATCAGAAATGACAAAAGGTTTTCCTTTGGTGAGCCCCTACTGGGCAGGTGCATAGGGAGGAGACATCACTTTGGCAGGGAAAGGTCTGGCATCAGCTGGTGGCATAGGCTTCTGGGCTCTGTGTGTGTGTGTGTGTGTGTGTGTGTGTGTGTGTGTGTGTGTGACAGAAGGGGAGAGGGAGAAAGCAAAGAAGAGAAGAAAGAGCTGGGGGACTGGAGGAAGGAGGGAGAGAGGAAAAGCAGGAAGGTGTGGAGAGAACAAAATGCTACCACTGAGTCAAGATAACCTAGTTCCTCCAAGAATTCTAAGTCATTCACCTACATTCCTTCAGTCTCCCAGACTAGGTAGGGAAATTGAACAGGAGATGAACACTATGACCTATCCAAGGTCAAAGACAGGGGCCTCTGTCTGGACCCAAAACTCCCCTCCCCATCAACACACACTTCCCCTAGCTAAGACCAGTCCTCTTCAGGCCAAGGCCCAAATTCTTCTGGGAGGATCCAGGAAAAGAACAGAAACATCCAAGGTGGATAACTGGTGAAAGGGGACAAGGAAGGTTTATCTGTTGGATCTCTTCAGCTTCTGTCCCTACTGGTCCAGCAGAAAAGACTGAAGGGGGAGGAAGAAGGATTTTGCCAGATAGCATCTTTTCTCTGAAGTAATCATATTTTCCATCCCCAGTCCAATTCCAAGAGAAGGGTAGTTGAAGCACCTTCTGTATCTGAATTCCCTCCTCTCTACCCCTTGCCAAACACTGGAACAGAACAAAGCCCTTTGGCCTGGATCTCTTCCCCCACAACTCCCCTCCCTCTACATTTTTCTCTCCCCCAGGAACAGAGAGTATAGAATCACATAATCATAGAATAATAGACCAGGAAGAGATGTTAGAACATAGAACAAACAGAGTGTTAGAGCTAGACAGGACTCTATAGATCATCTAGTTCAATAACCTCATTTTATGGATGGGGAAACTGAGGCCATAAACCACTATGTCTTTTCCCTTTTTGTTTATAGTTAAAAGGGATGAATGGGAAGAGATCTTAGGCCTGGAATAAGTCAAGCATAGTAGGAAGGTACCATAAAAAGGATCCCACAGGAAACTGGGAATTTGGAGTCTGAGATGGGGTGAGGGGAGGTGGGCAGAATCAGAGAAAGTACTAAAAAAAATCAGAGGCTCCCACCTCTGCCCCCCTAAGCTTATCTGTTTCTGACTTTGTTTCTCAAAAGCAAAAATGAACTCTAAAGAGGATATGAACTCCTTCACCTCCAGAAACTACTGGAGGGCACCCTGATTTTACAGTCTAGGGTAAGAGCGGGAAGGGAAAGAATCTTGGGAGGGAAAGGGTACTTGACCCAAGCCAGGGTTTCCAGAGATCCAAAATTTGTTATTGCCTTGGCAGCCAGGGTCTTGCGCTCAAAGTTGGACATTTCACTCTGGCCAGAAAGAACTTGGCATTTGCAGGACAGCCACCTTGCAGACAAAACCTAATCATACCTTGTCTATGTGTGTAGCTAGTGTAGCCAGAACCATAATGCTTCAAGGGGTAACCCTACAGGCCAGCATCCCCAAACACTGATATACCTGGACATAAAGGGGCTGATAAAGCTGGAGACCCAGGGGCCATCGGATGCCACCTGTGGGGGAGGGGTAATTGATAGGGGAAATGATTCTGCCCCTAGGACCTTCAGGGAGGAGGGTGGGATTCAAGAAGGCTGGGGCTAGTGGGTGGGCGCGTGTTTTCTCCAATCTCCCGGAAATAACCTTGCTGAACGTTTGAGGGAAGTGTGAAAAATTGCTGAGCTGAGCGCTTTCTCTCCCAGCGTGTGTGACTGTGCTGTGTAAACAAGGAGAAAGAGAGGAGAAGAGAGGGGAGGAGAGGGGAGGGAAAAAAGGAGGAGGGAGGATAGGAGAGGGAAGGGGGGAGGAGGAGCCCTGGGGCTGCAGACAGTTCCAGTTATTAGAAAGATCCTCTTACAAGGACTGCTTGCATTTTGCAGCCACTCAGCCAGGCTGAGGTGCAGGGGAAAGCTACAGGAAGGGTCAAAGGGAGAAGGGGAGGGGAAAGGAGAGACAGAGGAGTGCATGCCACGGTGGGGAGGGGGAATGGGCAGAGAACAAAGACTAAACTAAAACACCCCCAAAGGGAAAAGAGAGGAGGCTAGGAGCCTACTAGGGAAAGGAAGATAAGAGACCCTCAGAGGTTACCCAGATTAATGGGGCCATATCCCAGTCCCCTGATAATAGCTGGAGTTGCATTTGGAAATTAAGGGGAAGACTAATTTGTACACAATCATAACAATCTCACATCTGTTTAGGGATTTGGTTTTCAAAGCCTTTTCATGCCCACGATCTCATTTGAGCCTCACAGCATGCATTTAGGGTCACAGCAGCCCTACAACACTCACCCTCTCTGGACCTAAGTTTCCCCTATCTATAAAGTGAGACAGTTAGGTCCAGCGTCTCTGAGACTTCTTTCAGCCCTAATGTATAAAGTATACTGGCCCCAAATCCCAAGGCTTTCTTTCAGATAGGGCTGGGGATGATGAGACAAGTATTGAAGTTGGAGAAACAAACTTAGACTCAGGTTTGAAAATCCATATTTCAGAATCTTAAGCCCTCCAGACCCTGAGAAGCAAATATCCAGATCCATGTGGAAAGGACCCCTGGAGCTCCCCTTCAGTATATCCTGGGGAGAACTACATCTGAGGGTTTCTCTTCCCTTCCCTATCTCACATTCCCATAATGCTCTTCCTCCTTCTTAAGCTCCCACTCTCCCACCTCACACACATACACACACACACACACACACACACACACACACCACACACACACCACACACTTCTGCTCTTTGTCTATTGTGTATTCCTCTGTCCACCAGTCTTTGTCTCACTATATGTCTTTTTCTATCTATGTCTTCCAAGTCCATCTTTCTCATTCTCTTTCCGTCTGTCCCTCTTACTAAGTGATTTTTCATAGATCCCAGAGTTCAGCATTGGAAGCAATTTCAGAGATCATTTGAGTTCTACCCCCTTCTTGTTTTACTGAGGAAAACACTGAAGCCCAAAATAGTAAAGTAAATCCCCAAGGTCACAAAGCGAGTTTGAAACAGTTTGCAATTGAACCCAGGAACTATGATTCCAGAGCCAGTGTTCTTGCCACTAATTTTAATAATAATGGTAACATAGCTAGCACTTATGAAGGCTTAAGGTTTGCAAAGTTCTTTACATCTATGTCATACTGCCTCCTGCTGATGTCCTTTCCAAGTCAGAGTTGAGGCTCCTCTCTCTCTCCCTCCCTCTCTCTCTCTCTCCCCCTCTCTCTCTCTCTCCCTCTCTCTCTCTCTCCACTGTATCTCCTTTTATCTGCCTAGCTGAAACATTGGTTTGCTCTGTCCTGGAGACTCATGACCAATCTCTCCATCTTTTCCCCCAGTGCCAGGAGATATGTGTGTGAAAGGGGGGAAGTTGGTGCTTGGAAGTATAAGGCTTAGCCAAGGCACTGTACAACCATCTGCCCCCCAAGCATTTCAGACCTCTGAAAGTTTATCTGTTTCTTGTTTTCCCAAGAAGCCTCCCCACAAGCACTGGGAGCCCTGGACCAAAACTCGATACACTCTTATCCTGCCCCTAGTCCAAGAACTCCCACCCCTTCAAAAACAAAAAACAAAAACAAAATTGTAGTTCATAAGTCTCAGATCCTCAAGAAACCAAGCCTGAATGGGGATGATGAAGGATCAATGCTGAAGCAATAACGCATTTCTCTCCCCTCCATGGGATACATTAACAATCCCCCAGTGTCAGAGGGAGTTCTCCAACTCTTGCCCATACTCTTATCTATTTGACCACATTACATCAACAGGCTGAACCCTCCTCGCCTCCTGCTCAGGATGGCGCCGCAGATACTGATAGGAAATTATTTTAGTCCAGAGCCTGAGAGCCTTCGAGGTGTCTCTAGATGAAGCAGC